GCGGCTCGAACACATGAACTTTTTGGGATAAGCTGGTGATATAAACTGTGTGATCATCGCCACTCACAGTGTTTTATTTTCTTCAATAATTTGGTGAAACATGGATTTCCTTTTGGGTTATATATCATTTGCAAAAATTACGCCCAAGACTGGAATCAAACATCAAACATCTACCTGTTCAGTGAGGAATATACTGAGAAGGTGCTGATCAAGTACTTTTATAACACAAGTTTTTATTATTGCTCAAATAAAAATGATTAATTAATGGGACAGTTGATTGGATAACATGGCTTAAATCATAAAGTATATTGCCAAAGAGTAATAAGTCACTTTTCGTGTTTAATTCCTGCGGTGAGTATTTTGTGTGCCACCACATACATATTGATTAGCCACTGTTAGAAACTTCCAACCTAGCCAGCGTCACGCACCTCTAATCGAACTCTAGAATTCTTTTCGCATCGAAAGCAAGAATTTATCATGAATACAAAGAAACACGTAACAGACATCTGGATTCAACCGTGTATTACGGTGATAAATTTCGGATATTTCTTTAGCTATGATTTAGTTGAGAATTTATCACCCGGATAAAGGTGTTCTTCCTTCAGCAATAAAGGCGACGAGGAAAACTCCAGAAACTCACTGGATTTGGAATTCGGAAATTATCCGTAGTTATTCGTGGTTGTGCAAACGGAAGATGTGTGTTTGAGCAAATGCGTAATCACCAATATCTTATCACGTTGAATTCCTTATTGTAGATCATAAATTTCAGAAACAGGTCGGGGTCCAGGGTCTTCTGCAACTGTTTGGTTGGAACCACTAAATGATACGACAGCGAACCGACAGCAGCGGGGTTCTTGTTGTCACTTATCAATTCAAAATGCTAGATTGGGCACGGTGCATGCTGATCATAGAGGTTTAATTTCTCTGCACCCTCTCTACTTAGCATTACATCATGAGTTACTTTGTGAGCTTGGCAGCGATCGGTGAAGTTCGCTTCATTGTATTTCGCTGTATGATGACGATATGTGGAATGTCTTTTCAGCCTTTTGTGCATTTCTCTTCCATGGTTGATGCGAAGTCGAGTGATGTAACTTTGACCAAAGTGATGATTGAAAATTGGTGACCACTCACACCCTTTGTATAATTATGTAAATCTGTTGTTCTCATCATTCGACACGTTTTATGTCCAACCCCTTCTCTAATCTAACGTATGAGAACTAACCCACCATTTGGCAAGTTCAAAAATGTTTTTTACAAGCAGTGAAAGAATTTTCAGCAGATTGCAATCGAGTGTTAGTGTACCGTGTATATGTTCCATTAGGTCACCGATTGCCTTTTCTCGTTTTTTTGTGACGGCTTGCAAGAACAACCATTGAAACCATGTCGAACAGAAGTACAAAGTAAATAAAATAAAACTCCGTTTATGGTTTGTTGGATGACAGTTGCCAACATCGTTTTCCGTATCCTAGCTTACGGCGGCCTAAATTAGAATTGCTCTAATCTAACATTTCGTTTAGTATATAGTCCTACGGTCAAACAGCATCACGTGACTATAATGGGCATGGAAGCACACCTCGCCGACAGGTCGCGTGACCAACCAGGATCGAGTGTAATCGTGAACAGACAGGCCTAAACCATTTGACCAATCAGTCGACGGCATCTCTGAGCCAATGGGAAACGAGTATGTGGATCGATGGCAAACCAGACCATAACACGGCCGGCCGACAGCACGTCGTCATTCGGCAAGTCATGGCCAGTGCGGAAGAAAAGCCGGAAAGGCTCGCAGAGAGGAAAGGACGCGTGGTGCTTGTTCCAACTGATGGCAGCGTACACTCGGAGCGTGCCTACGAATGGTACGTGAAAAACGTGCGTATGCCGTCTGATTGTGTGAAATTCATCTCAGTCATCGAGCCGGTTTATACAACTCCTGCTATAGGTATGGCGATGGAATCACCACCACTCCCTGACATGGCTCGTGTGATGGAGGAGAGTATTCAGGCCGGGAAGAAACTGTGCCAACAATACATGCACAAAGCCAAAGCTGACGGTATTACCTCCCAGGCCTTCCTGCATGTGGATAACAAACCAGGAGCCGCCCTAGTGAAATCCATCACGGAACACAAAGCTGATCTCGTTGTAATGGGAAATCGTGGGATCGGGGCCGTGCGACGCACCTTTTTGGGTAGTGTGAGTGACTACGTGTTACACCATGCTCATGTGCCTGTCATCATTGTCCCTCCAAGTTCGCCCGAAACGAAGTAAATCATCGCTACTTGAAGTTCTTTATCAATTATCGCCAACCTTACTTGTAATTTTGTACTGACCTTGCCAGCTTTTTTTTTGCAATACTTGTTTCAAAATTTGGTTCCATAATTAATGTGCTTCGCGTTTCATTGCTCCCCAACGTCTTTTGGTCTAGTCGTCTCCGTGTCTTGGTTTCCAGAATTTATTCGTGAAATATTTCTTTCGTCGCCCTACGTGATCGTTACGTGACTTGCTTTCCCTGGGCTGTAAGTGTTGTGTCATAATGGAACGGTATGTTTTCTCAGGTTTTCATAGGCTGTTGTAAAAT